TATATATATATATATCTCACAGCAACTGCCAAAGAGTAATATCATAATTAATAAGTGAACCTTTTTATTATTAATGAAAATAACATTATCAATGCTAGATAACTCTTCTAAGGAAGTCTTATAACACTTGAGGACAGAATTCACACTACTTTTATTTGAATCAGTTCATATTTATTACTGCAGCATCTTTTAGGGTGGCTTTCTAGATTATGAACTAGTAATTCTGTTTTTCTGAGCATTTTCTCTAGCCATCCCTCTTCCTCATCCACGACATGAGTTATTCATATTTATGCTGGGGAACACTGACCCTTCCCAGACCAGTATGATTCTTTTTGCCAAGCTCAGGGGGTTGTCTTTAGTCCTCAGGGATTGAGTCATTGGATCCTAATGTAAACTTGGGTGTATGGGAGACTCATATTTGAGAAAAGTAAGTGTAGCAAAATGGAGAGATAGAGGAGCAAAATGAAGAGACTATAAAGGCATTCTACTGTGTTCCCAGTTCTTCATTTTGATTACTCCTAAGACATGATCCAGTTCAAATTCCTGGACTTTTGCATCTTGTCTTAAATAACCAGATTTTATTTTTCACTAATCTAGATTATGTTGCTTTGGGGGGTGGCCAACAAAAGTTTTATCTAATATTGGTTAGTAATACTAACATATGAAATAGATCATTTCTTTCATGTGCCTCACGCAGAGCGCCAAGATGTCATGTATGTTTAAATCTTGAAGTTAGCTCTGAAACAATTATTCTGAGCTCATTATATAGTGTTTCTTGTAATCAGTTACTTCTTTCCTGCTACCATGGCTTTACCAGTGGATTTTATCACCAATAAATTTAGAGCACATCCAAAGGTCTATCTTCAAATCCTTTCTCTGCCAACATAAAGCTGCATGATTATGGATGTGACCTCTTCTATTGAAAAATAATAAACAGATTCATCCTGAGGTAGTACTACATATTCCAGGTCACTTTCATCTACCTGTTAATTTCACTGATTCAAAGGTCCCTTTCTTCAGTGTGAGAGCCCCTTGAAGAGAAGAGAGAAATGCTTTGTCTTACACCATATTTAAGTACTTGAAACTGAGCCTATTTTCTTCCATCTCCTTAGCTGTCCACTTGTCAGATGCATCCTCTGAGCCTCCTTGGCCCCTGCTAGGCTCAGTAACCAAATAGAATGGCTGAGTCAGTTTCTGTCATTCAATACTGACCACTGGCACAGTGAACAGAGCATATCCATGGTTGCAGGAGACAATCTATGGACTAGACAGTAAGCTCTCATTTGCCAACTACATATAATTGCTGCCACTGCTGAATATCTACACTGCCAGCTGCAGAAACCAACCCTCATTTGAAGAGGCTGATTAGCCTCTTGGTGTTAAGTTGATTGCTTTATGCCTTTTCCATTCTGCAAGGGGCAGTGATCTAACTTGACTGAAATCAACAGTCTTCAGAATATGGGTTGACTTTCCTCTTCAAGGCTTTAGCAACCCACTACCTGGAAGCTTGCAGGGGACTTGATTTTATGCCATGGGATCCTGCATAATAGCTTGTCAAACCAGTCACAGGGACTCACTTAGTAAAATAAGTGTAGCTGTGAGCTCATAATGCTGGAATCCACTGATCCTTCCATATATTCATTAGCAAGAAGTAGCTGGCCCAGGAGAATGATTTGATGGCCTTTTGAAAGCATAGGTAAGGTACAAGCTTAAAGATAGTACCTTAGGAGAATGAGGCACCTTCTTCCAGAATGCAGTATGCACCCTAAATCTATGACCATACTATGATTCTGTGTTCTTAGTGGGTAAAACATGTGAGGTCAGGGTGGTAGTGAAAGCAGCTCTGATTACCATTGTTAGTCAGGTAGTTAGACATTATCAGACCTAAGGGACAAATAGGGTCCAAAACAGCCTGATTTCATAGTTATAGTTAAATGAAGAAACCAGGACCACAGTGTGTGATATATTTTAAACCATTCTTGAACGGTCAGAGCCAGTATCATCCCTCAGAATAGGAGGACATTTTAGGGTTACATATTGTGCACTATCCCTGGGTTGTCCACTTCCAGAGTAAGGTGTAAAGTATTCCTGGTCTCAAATGCTGACAGCCCATTAATGTCAGAACATCACATAGTTTCCTCTTATTTGAAAAGTCCAAAACATAAACAAAGAGCAGATAACAAAGTAGGAAGATTGATCTTTCTCAAATGGGAAGGGGATCAAGAGATGAAGTGAGGTAAAAGGGAGGAGAGGAAAGAGGGATGAAAAAAAGAACTGAGATGTGATATGTCCATGTACCAACACCTGACAAGGAGTGTAATCATTGTGTAATGCAAACATGCACTCATAAAAAATCAAAACAGAAAAAAATATAATGAATCAGCAAGCAGGTACAGAATTCAGGAGTGGTGGTGAAATAAACAAATACAAGCAAACCCCCCAAGCCAACAAAGAAAGAAACAAACAAACAAGAAAAGAAAAGAAAGAAATACCCACTGGGTGTGTGACGCACACCCGTAGTCCCAGCACTCTGGGGACTGAGACAGGAGGATCGCTGTAAGTTTTAGGCCAGCCTGGGTTGTTACATAGTGAGTTCAAGACCAGCCTAAACTGCATAGTCAGACCCTGTCTCTAAAAAAGGAAGGAGGGAAGGAAAAGAAAGAGAAAGAAGGAAGGAGAGGGAGAGAAAGAAAGAAGGGGGAGAGAGGAAGAAAGAAGGGAAGGAAGAAAGGAAGGAAAGAAGAAAGAAAGAAAGAAAGAAAGAAAGAAAGAAAGAAAGAAAGAAAGAAAGAAAGAAAGAAAGAAAGAAAGAAAGAAAGAAAGAAAGAGTACAAGAGAGAAAGAAAGAAAGAAAGGGGTCACATTCTCACATTCTTTAAAACAGTCCTGCCTTGGGCTGAGACCTGATTTAGATAGAATTTTCTCTTTTGAACATTTCTTTCCTATGTTTCTTACATGATTAAAGCCCCAAAGGGGACAATGACCATCTCAGAAGAGCAAGGGAGAGTTGCTGCAACAGTGAAATTATGACCCTTCAAAGTGGCCTGTAAGAAAAACGTCAATGAATATATATCATCGTGTAGATAAAAACAATGATAATTACCAAAGTTCCTGAGCCCTAGGAGTGGCTCACCTGTGCAACTCCCTCTAGGAGCAGATGCCTGCGTAGTGCTGCCTTCCATCTTGCTTGAATGTATGTTCTGTCTGTATCTTTGTTTGACAGTAAACTCTACCTATGCTGCATGCCCACCTACATATCCTGCCCACCACGAGTGAGAGCTGGTTCCTCACATTGGGACTTGGCTTTCCACGGCTACCATTCCTTCCAGTGACCTACTTGGGAAATTTGAGCTTGTCCTCTCAGCATCCCTAGATCTAAGGGGCTCAGTTCTCAGAGAATCAGTTCCTTCAGAGTTGCATTAAGCATCTTTCTATTGAGGTACAACTTCAGTACCAAAAACTTTACTAATTGTAAGGGACAGCTCAATATTTTTTGGTAAGTCTGTATAGTTATGTGATCATCACCAACAACCAATTTAGAATATTTATATAATTTCAAACAGTTCCCTCATGCCCATTTACCATCAGTTCCTACCTTCAACTACAGGCAACTACTAATTTACTAAGGGGATTTGATTTTTCTAAAAATTTCAAATAAACACAATCACATAATAAATAGTTTTTGTGTCTGGCTTTTTCTCATTTGACATAACATTTCTGAGGCTCATACAGTGGTAACATGTATTTGTAATTTTCTCCTTCTTTTGTAGAATAATAATTTTATTGTACAGATATACTGCCTTGTGTTCATCTCTTTGCCCGTTACAAGTCATTTGAATTGTTCCAGTTCTGGAATAGAATGTGAATAATGCTGCTGTGAGCATTCAAGTACACAATTCTGTGTGGAATCAGTGGGTCAAATGGTTAATGTATAACAGCCCTCCCACATTTTCCTCAACACTCAGTATTATTAGCCTTTTTCATATAGCTC